ATTTTAAATCTCCTTACTCATGTGTCTCAGTTCTTGAGAGGAAAGCCTTTGGGAGTGAGGGAAGTACAAGAGAAACGGAAAGAAGAAGCCAGATCAAACCCAGATGTGCTGAGTTTCCATAGAGAGCCATTCTTACTTTAAAACCTTGGAAGTAATATTCAAGTGTGTGATCTACATGAATTTGTGCGACTATCTTCAACAATATTATTTAAATTACTGAATTAATGACCTAATTTTCTATCTGGTTGCTCTTGCTAGAGAATAAACTTACAAAAGCCTAAATACACATACACACACACACTTGAGTGCACACAGAACTGATGAAATCTGAATAAACTGGATTGTACCAATTTCCTAGTTGTGTTATTATACTACAGTTATGCAAGAGGTTGTCACTGAAGGAAACTGAATGCAGTATAGGATATCTCTGTGTTACTTCTTACTTCCATATATAAATCAACAATTATCTCAAATTTATTTTTAAAACATGAATGTTTCTCATTAAGACCTCACATTCAAAGAGTTTGACTGAAGTAACTTTGTGCTTCATTTCTCTGTATGTACATAATTAGGGTATAGATGCTTGGCTTAATGATGTCCTAAGTAACAGTTAATATTTTTTACTATTAGAGCACTTCATTTCTAAGCACCTTCTATGTAGTGACTCATTTAATCCTCACAACAAACCCAGCAAGTAGATATTTTATAAGAAAACTGAGGCACAAAGAGGGCCAGAAACTTGTCCAAAGTTATTTGGTTGGTACTTAAAGAAATTGAGATTCAAACCCAGCTCTTGAGCTTGTACTCCAAGCACTGCTCTGTGCTTTCTCTCAGTAACTACTGTTATGACTTCATTGTTTTACCTATTATCTTAATGTGCATTCTATGTCACATTTAGAGAGGCTTTAGATTTTTATTTATATGATCTATAATTTATAGCACTATTTCCAAAGTGAAGTGATGTCCAATCAGATAGGATCAGATATGTTATCTTTGTTCAATCTTATCCTAATATGTTTGAACAAGCTTTTCAATATGTCAAAATATTTGACTTTGTTTTTCTTGCTCAATGTATTCCCTCTCCTTACTTCATTCTAGCTTATTCCTTATAGATTTGATAAGCATGCCCCAGAGCACTGGTCAGCAAGCTGTAGCCCGTGGGCCACATTGTGCCCATTGCCGGTTTTGTACAGGCTGTGAGCTAAGAAAGGTTATTACAATTTTTTTAATAATCAAAAAAATCACAAAGAATAATTATTTCCTGATAGTTGACAATGATATGAATTCAAATTTCAGGATACATAAACAAAGTTTTATTGGAACACAGCCATGCTCATATATTTATGTATTGTTTATAGCCTCTTTCATTCTATGAGGGCAGAATTACTGGATGGCCCACAAAGCATAGAATATTTACTATCTGATCCTTTGCAGAAAAAAGTTGGGCAGCCCACATTGTGTACCAAAGTGAGACAGGTAGAGCAAGCATTTGTATCCAGGTCTCCCTAACTCTGAAGCCCATGCTCTTAACCACAGTCATTAATTTCATATAGATGATCATGTTAAACAAGAGCTCTCAGTGAAAGCGTACCCGCTACCTGAAGGGTTTGGAAATGTTGGGGGTAGGAGAAAAAGAAGAATTGTTCTGCCCAGATGCCAACAGTATCCAGCCCCACTGAAAAATAAGAATTTAGAAGCATTCTCCCTGTTCTGCATACCTCCAGATATAAAAACTAGAACTGTTTTGTCTACTTTTAGAAACTGTTTTCTTTTATATTTTTTTCAAAAATCTTAAAATATGTTTATTGACTTTAGAAAGAAAGGAAGGGAGAGAAAGAGAAACATCATCATGAGAGACAAACATCATTTGGAACCAGGGATCAAACCTACAACCTAAGTAATGTACCCTGACCACAAGTCGAACCCCCAACCTTTTAGTGTATGGGATGACACTCCAACCAACTGAACCACACCAGCCGGGCTCTTAAATTATTACATGTTTCATTAAGTTACATTGTTTATCTTATCAACTTTGTAGGAAAAAATGATGTTTTATCTTATCTATAAAGTTGAACAATACCAATTCTCTAAATATTATAGCAATTCTTTCAAAATTTAAAAATAAAATGGATGTTTCCAAAGTGACTTATGAAAAAACCTGAAGGTATGAGTGACAATATGTTTTCTCTTTAAAGTAGACTTTGTCGTAATAAACAAGATTCTTTTTAAAAAGAACTTTCAGGGACAGAAGGGGACAGAGGGAGGTATTACAAAAGTGAACTTTTTGAGGATGATGGATATGTTCACTTTCTTGTGTTGAAAGTTCACAGGTCTATCTATACATATGTCAAAATTTACCAGTTGTACATTTTAAAAATGTTCAGTTTATTGTTTGTCAATTGTACTTCAATACAACAATTTTTAAATAAAAATAAATCTCTAGGGTCTAAAAAGTAAAACAATGGTTTAAGTGTTGTCTGCACAGTCCCACAAAAAAGACTGACATATTAATAAAAATGGGAGAATTGAGGGAAACAACCAAGAGACTGATGCACAATTTCCTTCATAAAAATGATACAGGATGGCTGAAAGAACTTAGCAAAAATACTAATATCCCAAAATTTAGAAGGAAGGAATCTGTTTGTCCGCAGCCCCTTTTCCTAACTCAAATCAACAGCATGCACTGAGGCAGGGCCGGATGAGGGACTACAGTCACACACTGGAGACTCTGAATTCCGTAAGTTATCAACTGGCCACACGGGGTGTGCATCACCGGCATGCTGGGTTTGGTCCTCACCATGTTCAAACCACATCTTTTATTTGCCAACATTAAAAATTTTAGATATTTCTCCCCCAAAGTCCTTTTTACTTTTCTTGGAAGGTCGGGTAACCCTCGAGCCCATGTTTCCAATCTGACAGCGGGCCCAGCACTGTGGTCAGCACAGGCCACAGGCCTCAGCGTCTCTGGCAGATTGGCCCGTTCACATGACCGGGCCTGGTCTCTGCAGAGTTTTGAGTTTGCAGTCCTTGACCTCAGGCTGCAGAGATTTTCTCTCAACAGTGTTTTGTTTTGTTTTGATACTATCTTTGGGCTCACCCCCACATTAAAAAGAACTACCCTTAATTAAAGGTGCAATTTTCACTGCAAAGGGAAGGAAACTTTCTTAACTCAGCAGACAGTGGCAGCAAACAAGAACTTAGACTTAGCCATACCCATCCCTGAAATCAAGGCCAGGACAAGAATATAAACGACCCCTGGAAACTGATTCCTGGGGAACTAGTTTGAACAAACTAGTTTCAGAGAAACTTCTAAGAGATATAATTCCCTTCTGGAGATCTTCCTCAGTGTCCTACCACCCCTACAACACACACACACACACACACACACACACACACACACACGCACGCACGCACGCACGCACGCACGCATGCGCGCACAGTCAGTCCCAGCTGCCTCCCTAACCTTCTTCCCCTCCATTCTGCTAGGTCACAGAAATGGTAACAGGAATCTGTATCATTCTGCCTCAAGCTTAAGATAAGATAAATTCATTTTTAAAAAAGCTGGTGAAAAGGGAACGTTGACAAGGAATAAGCACACAAATTATTGCAGGTCCAAAAGGGGCAAAAACCTTTACTCATTCAGTGAATAAACAATCAACAATCAATGGTTTTATTTAATTATTATATCTCAGGACCATTAATATTAAGATCAAGATGAAGACAAAGAGAACTTTTATCACAGTTACTTAACATTTTTCTAACCATTCATAAAATAATAGAGCAAAATATTACAAATAACAACAAAAAATTCATTTGTAGATGACTTCACTCTATTTAGAAGATTACAGGGAAATCACTGAAAAAATATGAAAACTAAAAGGAGAAATTAGTGATTGAATAGTTACCAAATTAATATAGAATAATTAGCTCTTCTTTTATATGTTGGCTCATAATAATCATAGAAGACAGAATATGAATAAAAATGCAAAAACCATAGCAAACAAGATTATAAAATACTCAGAAACAAAAATTAATAAAAGGTGCCAGTTAAGGTCATGTTATCCTGGAGCAGGAGATGCCCAACGGGCTTATGGACTGTCCAGTCACTTAGAGAGTGGAGCTGGAATCTACCATCCTCTGATCCATCCCAGGAGCCACCTTGTAAAAGCCTAACCGACATAAGGCCCAGGGAGAAATTAAGGCTTCTCTCGCCAGCAACACTAGACCTGATGGAGACCTACATCTCCCTGGCCTAGTTCTGAATCATAGGAATCAACTCCAAACTGGTCATGTTTCTCAGAGTGCATATAGAAAACAGAGCCAATCAGCAGAGAATCAAGATTCATCACTTTTTCAAGAATCAGATAAGATGTCCAGTAGAGAAAACTTATTCTCCAAGGAAAGGATTTCAAGGAATTCTTAAAAAGCTTTTGGCAGAGAACCTTACTAAATGTATGTGTGAAAAATAAATGAGTACATAGACCTTTTCATTATTATTACTGAATAAAACCAAAAGAAAGAAAGTTTTGAAATGTGTTTATACTATTAAAAAAAATCCCAATTAACACAATCCTCAATATTCAGAATTTGTGACTGTTTGTGGTCTGATTTCAGTTATCTTTCCATTCTCTGGATGAAAGTAGTTTCCTAAGAAAATTAATGGTGTAAACAAATGGTTTGAGGCACCACAGAAGCATCTATTTATATTCACATAATTAATATGCTAAGCATTCTTATCTAATAAATTAAAGCAGGTCACCTAAAGACGTTCCTAGATAATACTTCATTAGCCTAATTATAATGAGTACATATAGTTGAAGTAACAAAATGAACATCTGTTTTAAAACATTTTTCAATTTAAGCCTTTTACTAAATCAAGCGAGCTTTCATACATTAGTTTCAATTACTAAGGGTTTACATGGCAAAAAAAAAAAAAAAGAAAAAGAAAGAAAGAAAAGGAAAACTCCATCGAAATAGAAAATAAAAATTTCTGTTCTTACCTTTGAAGTCCTCCATTCCCAACCATCACCTATCTGCTGTGAATGTTTGATAAATTCTGTACAATAATGCTGAAATGTTTTTTCTCCAAAAAACTCATCATCTTCCATACTAAATGGTAACTGCAATATAAAAACTAAGTATTAGCATCAGCTGTAGAATGAATATGGCAAGAAATTCTGCTAATTCACTTATTTATTCCAACAAACCAAACTTTGGAACTTAAAATGGAAAACTACTTCAGAGCCATTCCAAAAACTGTGTTTTGTTTCCATCTTTCTCATCTTATCTGATTTTTAATCAGGAAGAACATGTCTATAAATTCAGTTTCAACAGCTTAATTTTTTCTCACTTCTTCTAAGCTAGTGCTTTCAACCTCCTCAGAACTTCCTTTTCTACCTCCTACTTCAGCTCTAATGTAGATGGTATGATAGTGATAGGTAGAGCTGAGTTGTTCTTCACACTTTATTAGAGAATTAACTCAGTAACAAATGGTGCTCTAAAGTCTGAAAATATTTGTTTTTCAAGGTCCAACTTTATTGTGTCTACAAATGCAACAAATCAAGGAATACCCCTATATTTCTTAAATAAATCTGTCCAAAACATAAAACATTGCTTATTAAAAGAGAATTTTAGAGCTGGAGGAAAACTCGCAGAGTATGTAGTTCAAGTCTCTTGATGAGAAAAGACAGACCAAGTGAATTCCCTCATTCACATTAGTGACAGGCATCATCAGGACAATTGGTACTTGTTGACTGCTTTCTTTGTCAAGCACTATGCTAGACATTGCACGTTCCCATTTAATCCTCACACAGTCCAGAAGCTGTTGTTAGCATTTGTCAAATGAAAACGCCACCCTGACTGGTGTGCTCAGTGGTCCCACAAACCAAAAGGTTGTGAGTTTGATTCCCAGTGAGCACACATGCCCTGCTTACAGGCTAGGTCCCCGGTTGGAGGCACACAAGAGGCAACCGATTGATGTTTCTCATACATTGATGTTTCTCATACATTGATGTTTCTCTTCCTCTCTGTCTCCCTCTCTTCCACTGTCTCTAAAAATAAATAAATAAAATTTTTTAAAATGAAAATGGCAATGTAAACTGCTCAATAATGTAAATGAAAAAGGATTCAAACCTCAGTTTGGCTCCAGGGCCAATGACCTGTCTATACTAGCTGATTCTAACCACTGTTCCTTCTGGTTGTTCAAATTTGGTATGATCTGTATAAGAATTTGTTCATTCATCCAACAAATACAGTATCTACTACGTGGTAGTAACTGTGCATAGGTAAAGGCTAGATGAAAATGAAAAGGTTAGATATATCAAAAAAATATATAGCCCTTGCCTTATAAGAACTCACATTGTAATAAAAGGTGAGCAAAAAAAACAAAAACAAAAAGCATAATTAGTGTAGAAACTCCCTTAACCAACCTCCATTCAAACAACTTTGCCATATTAATCAACAATGTCCATTCCCTCTATAAAATGATTAATATCTACAGCATTCTGATCAGGAAGCAACTTCTACTCCTCTCAGTTGAAGTAATGTTCACAAACCACATTCTTGTATTATAAGTATGCTTTAATGAAATGCTGCACTAACCAAACCAATGAAATGTAATTTAAAAACACAGACAAATGTCATTTCTAAGATTTAATGCCTTGGAAAGACTTTATAAAAGTAAGTCTCCATACAAAAACAAACCAGTATCGAACTAGATATGAACAAAGAAACAAAAAATTGGTGGTGGTGGGAAATCATACAAATCTAGAATTCTGCACTTGTATTGCTGCACATGTGGCTTAAGCTCTTTCATTTAAACAAAATACCTAGGGGATGCATTCCAGGTTCAGTTTAATCAAGAATAAACAAATAAATTCCAATCAAGTACCCACACTCAAAAAAATATTGCCTTGGTCATATATGAAAAAATTGGCAAATAAATGTATTTCTATGTTTTGAGTTGAAATAAAATATTTCAATTCAAGTATGCATGTATCTTTAACATAAAAATAACATTCTTTTTTAACTTAAAGAATCATTAGGATAAAGGAAAATCAAATATTATTAGCATAAGCTTATAAATTCTACTTTTCTCTAATATATAAACCTTAAGCAGAAAGTAACTAACATATTCTTCATCATTTTCCTTCATATCAAACTCCTTGCTTATCCATAACTTTTTTGGCATGTATAATTTTTTAACTTTACCTTTAGGCAATTTCTTCAATTAACTGCTCAAGTCTCAATTCTGATAGCACTGGAAAAGAGGACTTCTATTTAAAGTCTATACAATAGTGAAGTTAATACACAGATTACAGTAGGCAGAGGAAGGATCCCTCACAAAGGAGGAATGGTATGAGAGGGTGTGGGTCATGCAAGAATTTGGACTCTTCCATAGAAAATACAGAATAAGAACTTAGAGCTGAAAAGGTCAGAATAAAAAATGCATTGGGAAGATGAAGGCTTAGGTAAACAAGGCTCACCTCCTTACATAACCACATCAAAATTGCAACTGACCTGTAGAACAACCATTACTCAGAACCATCAGAAACTGAGTTGAATAGAAGACTGACGACTACAGAATTAAAGAAACCACACCATCCAAACTGGTAGGAGGGACACAGACAAGGAATGGGCTGGTCCCACATCAGCCTGTTCAGCAGAAGGTAGATAAAAATTTGCGAGAAGTCCTAACCCCACAGCAGGCCCCCCAGCCCAGGGTGCCAGTGCCAGGAAGATAAGTCCCCATAACTTCTAGCTGCAAAAAAAACAGGAAGGACTGAGTGGTGGAAGAAACTTTAGGAATCCCAAGCAGTTCCTCTTAAAAAACCCACACACAGACTTACTCAGACTCATTCCCTCTGAGCTCCAGCACCAGGGTGGCAGCTTGAAAGGCACCAGTGCCATACAGGGAGGAACTGAAGTGTCTGGCATGAAGGCGAGAGCTGGGGGACAGATTTCTCCCAGAGAGAGAGTGGGCAGAGGCCCCTGCCCCCTTTCTGAACCCTCCCCCGACAGAGCCACATTGCCACAGTGCTGGCAGTTGGGTGCCATATGTAAGGCTTCATCAACCTAACACCGTTTGCCCTGCCCTGGAGATCCCCTGAGGCTCTGTCCCACCCAACTTACAGACCCACTCATGCTGTTTTTTTATATGAATGGTTTTGGTTCATACTTCATGACCTCCTAAATCCTCTCAAACAGTCAGCCTCAGTAAGCCCCCAATATCAACAAATCAATTAACATGATATATTAAATAAACAAAATTAAGGATAAAAATTATGATCATATTAGTAGATACAGAAAAAGCATTTGATACTCTTATGATTTAAAAAAAAAAACAAACTCTCAGCAAAGCAGGAACACAGGGAACATACCACAACATAATAAAGGCCACGTATGACAAAACCACAGCTAACATTTTACTTAATAAATAGAAGCTAAAAGTGTTTTCCTTAGATCAGTAATGAAATAGAAATGCCTACTTTCACCACTCTTATTCAACACAGTATTGGTAGTCCTAGCCACAGCAATCAGACATGAAGAATAAATAAAAAGGCATGCAAATTGGAAAGAAATAAGTAAAACTGTCATTATTTGCAGGTGGCATGATACTACGTATAGAGCACCCTGAAGATTCCACCAAAAAACTATTAAACCTGATACACGAATTCAGTTTTCAGTAGCAAGTTACTAAATAAATATTCAGAAATTGGTTGAATTTTTATATACACATAATGAATTATCAGAAACTGAAACTAAGAGAACAATCCCATTTACAATTGGATTAAAAAAAAATACCTAGAAATCTAAACAAGGTTGTAAAAGACCTATACTCAAAAATTTTTAAGACACTGAAAAAAGGATTTGATGATACAAATAACTGGAAGTATATATATGTGCTCATGGATAGGAAGAATTAGCAACATTAAAATGTCCATACTACCCAGACCAATCTATGGATTCAACGAAATCCCTATCAAAATATCAATACCATTTTTTCCCAGAACTAGAAGAAATAATCCAAACATTTATTTGGAACCATAAAGGACCAAAACAGCCAAAACAATCTTGGGAAAGAACAAATTTGGAGGTATCGCCCTACCTGATATCAAACTATACTACAAAATTATAGTAATCAAAACAGCATGGTACTGGAATAAAAACAAGATATATACCTCAGTGGAACAGAACAGAGAGCCCAGAAAATAAACCCACGTCAATATGATCAATTGAACATACAATGGGGTAAAAGCAAGCTATTCAATAAATGGTGTTGGGGAAATTAGATACATAAAGGAAAAAAATGAAACTACACTGCCTTTTCACACCACGCACAAGTATAAAACCAAAATGAATTAAAGATTTAAATGTGAAACTCAAAACCATAAAAATCCTAGGAGAAAACATAGGCAGTAAAGTCTCTGATATTTCTCTTAGCAATATTTTTTCTGCTATATCTCCATAGGCAAGGGAAACACAAGAAAAAAAATTAAAGAAATGAGACTACATCAAAAGTTTATGCACAGAAAAGGAAATCCTCAAGAAAATGAAAAGACAAACTATAGGAGAAAATATTCACCAATGATACAGTTGATAAGGAGTTAATATCCAAAATTTGTAAAGGACTCATACTACTCAACACACACATGAAAAATCCAATTAAACAATGGGCAGAGGACCTGAATAGATACTTCTCCAAAGAAGACATACAGATGACCAATAGACATATGAAAAGATGCTCAACACCACTAATCATCAGAGAAATCCAAATTAAAATCACAATGAGACATCACTTCACACTGTCAGAATGGCTGTCATCAATAAATCAACAAACAAGTGTTGGCTATGATGTGGAGAAAAGGGAGCTCTTGCGCACTGTTGGTGGGAATGTAGGTTGGTGCAGCCACTATGGAAAACAGCAGGAAGTTTCTTCAAAAATATGAAAGATGGAACTGACTTATGACCCACTGATTCCACTCTGGGTATATATCCAAAGAAACCCAAAACTCTAATTTGAAAAAATAAATGCACCACTATGTTCATTACAGCAATATTTACAATAGCCAAGATACAGAAACAACCCAAGTACCCATCAACAGATAAGTGGATAAAAAAA